TCATTGCAAATAGGAATATATAGTTATCGCATTATTGCATTGACACATTTTATTTTTTGTTTTGTTTTGTTATTTCTAGGCATTTATTCATTTATCATAGTAAGCCTCAACTTCTGCAAACCTTCAGATATATTATTTTATCTGTCTGAAAATCAATTTGAATTTTATGATGTTGCATAAAATATTTTACTTTTACTGGTTACACACATGCACATGATGTAATTTTGCAATAAATTTCACAAAATATTCTGCCTTGAATCGCTTTTAAAAATTACTCATCTCTTTAACTTGATGTCAATCCACAAAGTAATGTCAAACAAACCTTTGAAAGAATTTGCACAATATGCTTGCATAATTAAACCAAAATATCAATATCTATATATAAAGCAATCCCATAAACCTCCTCAAATTTAGAATTTACAGATCATTTAGTTATGTTGTATTTTAATCTCAGTTTCGACTGAGCTGCGGAACTGTAGCTCATAAGTCCTCGTCAAAAAATATCATAAGGACCTATGAGCTACGGTTCCGCAGCTAAGTTTCAACCATGATTCTAAATTAAGATGATAACACCTCTGAAAAAATTGAGATTGGGATAAATAAAACCTGTTTATTTTCTACACAACATAATAAATCTTTTCCTTTGATAAGATGAATGTTAATTTTACCTATTCTGAGATGAATAATAAAAAACTCAAAGAACTCATAGAAATTATTGATGGAATGAAACATAAGGGACATTATTTTCCTGTCAATATTTATTATGCATACTCACTTCAACAGAAGATTAATAGTTTAGTTCTAAATAAGTTTTTTTCTCTCTCAGCATACTCGGGAAAATATTATATTCTCTCTTAAATGAATCCCCTGAAAAGAAAAAATAACACTTTAAGGTTTTTTTATGGTTTAGTATTAAATTTCCTCATGTCAATCTATGTTCCTTCCTGTAAATGTTGCTTCCCTGAAGACAGCATGTATGGACAATATTCACACTTGATTTATAGCAAACAACCCAGCCAATCTTTTTCCCCAAGCATAATCTATTGTAACAGATGGAAAGAAACTTTTTTATGGACCATTAATTGTTAGTAACTGAAGTAAACTAAATATGTTTTTCTGTGTGATATAAATTTACTTTTACTTACACTTTGCTCTACCTCTCTTCCAAAATTATTTTTTCTGACAATTAAGCTGAACCCATCCATGCATTCTTTCCTGCTCAGAAACAACTACTTAATGTGCACAATATATAAAGCCCCACCCTTTAGTCATGGTTTATTGACTTTGAAGCTTTTTATACGACCGCAAAAAATTTGAGTTCGTATAATGCTATCATGTCGTCATAGTCGGCCGAAGACACATTTGGTTTCTGGACAATAACTTAGGTTAAGTGAATGGATCTCTATGAAATTTTACCAGAAGGTTCAATACCACAAAAGGAAGGTTGGGATTGATTTTGGGGGTTATGGTACCAACAGTTTAGGAATAAGGGGCCAAAAAGGTGTCAAAAACAAGCATTTTTGTAGTTTCCGGACAATAACTTGTGTGTAAGTGTATGGATATCTCTGAAATTGTACCACAAGGTTACATATCACAAAGCACAAAGGAAAGGCTGGGATTGAGTTTGGGGGTAATTGCCCCAAACATTTAGAAATTAGGGGCCAAAAAGGGGCCAAAAACAAGCATTTTTATACGCCCGTTTACGGGACGTATTATGGTATACCGTTGTCCGTCTGTCCGTCCGTCTGTCCGTCCGTCTGTCCGTCATCAACAAGTCCGACATTAACTCAAAAATGCTTTAACCAATTTGCATAAAACTTTGGTGAATTGTTTATATCTATTGACGTAAGCTCCCTTTCGTTTTTTATAAAATTTAGATTTTTCGTTTTATATTATATTATATTTATATATAAAGTTATGGGGTTTTATTCATTAAAAAAAGGGGGATTTTCCAGTTTTCGGACAACAAGTCAAGAATGCTTTTACCAACATGCTAAAAATTGTGGTGAATTGTTAATATCTATTGACATGAGCTCCATTTTGATTTTTATAAATTTTAGATTTTATGTTTCTGAGTTACAGGGTTTTATTCATAAAAAAAAGGGGGGATTTTCCAGTTATCGGACAAAAACTCAAAAATGCTTTCAGCAATTCTTATGAAACTTTGGTGAATTGTTTGTATGTATTGATGTAAGCTCCCTTTAGAGTTTTATAAATTTTACATTTTACATTTCTGAGTTATGGGGTTTTATTCATTAAAAAAAGGGGTGATTTTCCAGTTTTCGGACAATAACTCAAAAATGCTGTCACCAATTCTCATGAAACTTTGGTGAACTGTTTGTATGTATTGATGTAAGCTCCCTTTAGAGTTTTATAAATTTTACATTTTACATTTCTGAGTTATGGGGTTTTATTCATTAAATAAAGGGGTGATTTTCCAGTTTTCGGACAATAACTCAAAAATGCTGTCACCAATTCTCATGAAACTTTGGTGAATTGTTTATATCTATTGATGTAAGCTCCCTTTTTATTTTAATAAATTTCTAATATGACATTGAGAATTAATTGAACTTTATTTGTTTATAGTCTGACAACAGATTTACTAAGTATTGCACAACAGCAAGAAATCCTTAATTGAACATAAATTCAATTCATATAACCAATTTCAAGTTCTTTGAATACATTTATTCAGAAACCGATAATATGTCAAATATTTAATTACAATCCAAATTCAGACCTGAATCATGCTTGAATATTGTGTCCATTTTTGCCCCAACTGTTCAGGGTTGGACCTCTGGGGGCGTATCTAGCTGGGCTCAGCGAAGCAGTTTATTCTCGTTTCCAGACAATTACTTGTGTTAAAGTTAATGGAACTCTCTGAAATTGTACATTTTTCCTAAAAAGAATATAATCATCAAAATTTTCAAAAAAAATTGGGGTGGGGGAGGGGGAGGGGGGAATTTTTTTTTCAAATTTTTTTTAAGGGGTTCATATTTTATTTCTTCAAAATTTTGGAACTACTAATTGTAATTGATTGACATTTGGTAGGCATTAGCACTTTTATTAGCATTGGCACATCAGATTTGCATGGAAATTATTTGTTCTAGCTGTCCCCTCAGTCATGGTTTGTTGACTTTTATACTTTTGCATAGTTTTCATTTAAAAGTTTGTGAACCACTGATCATGTTTATGGTATGTAAGTTATTGATATTTGGTATGCAGTTGTATAAGCATAAGCACATCTCATTCCATGGAGATTATATTGCCACTCCCCTCAGTTTAGGTTTATAATTTAGTTTGGAACTTTTTACATAGTTTACATGTTAAGATTTTTGATTAGGTGAATTTATAAAGCATTATGGCATATCTCATTTTCAGGGAGATTGCTTTAGCCCGCACCTTCAGTCATGGTTCATTAACTTTAATAAATGTTTTGCATATTTTATAATGCTGAAGTAATACAATTTTAATTTCAACATTCGTATTTTACTATCAAAATAACATACAGGCAAGACAAATCTCTGTCAACAGTTTATTTTATTGGAATGGTCTTTTTTCGTTAGCTGCTGAATGAATTTAAAGCAAACATAACCATGACAACAGGGAGGTTTCTTTAAAGGTTATTGTCAGGTGTTACTTTAGTGCCATAAACAAACAATAGTACAGCTACAGGTAGGTTACTTATAAACATTGAACTTATCTGAACAATAGTACAGCTACAGGTAGGAATTTATAAACTTTGAACTTATTTGATATGCGGTACCTCCTAAACATTTTTTTCTTTTGGAAAAAGACTAAAAGAAATCAAAATACTTGTGCAGTGGTGCTAGATTAAAGTCCTTGCCAATTGTGTGTAATATTGATAGTTAGATAATGATTAATAGCTATACCATTTCTCTGAACTTGTTTACAGGATTGTTTAGGGGCCAGCTGAAGTCCATATCTGGGTTAGGGACTTTGGTGGCCTTGGGCTGTTTTCTGCTCTTTGGTCAGGTTGTTGTCTCTTTGACACATTTGTCATTTCCCTGTTTCCATTCTCAATTCTATTAGTCTGATTGATTGCAGTGTAGATTTGATCTTATTATATCTTTTACCCCATGATAACATTATATATTTCACTGTATTACTATACCCACATGAGTGAAATTCAGAGAGTATATAGTGGAATCACTTTGTCTTGTCTTTGTAAACATTATTCAGATATACATATTGATCTAATGGTATTCATACTGGTGTTTGGCTCTTTAAACGTTGGATGCCTTGAAGGAAATTAATGATACTGTGTATAGTATTGTTGTTCGTTGCTAAATGAGGAATTATAGGTAAGGTTGAGATGTTTCCTTGTAAGGTCACATGTTTAAAATCAACAAAAAATGCTGTTTTTTTTCAAATATATACAAATGTCTGATTACTTTGAATGGCTTTAAGAATTAAAAGGATACTTGGTATAATTGTAGCCACCTTGAGTTTTAAGTAAGATTGGAATAACAATTTGCAAGTCTTCTTAATCTAGAACTTGAAAGGAATTTTTTGTTCATTACTTTCCAATGCTTTGAGGGATGTAAGTGATACTTGGTATTATTGTAGCCCACTTACACAGAGTGTGCCATGAGTAAGGTTGAAATATCTGTCTGCAAGCCCAAGGTCACAAACTTATTTCAAATAAAACCTCTCAAATTTAAATTCAAATATTTTCAAAGGCAACATCAGTTATGTTTAAATATACATTATTTTATTGCAAGATTGGAAGGGGGGTGTCATATATCATAGGCTTGTTCACAGTATGTCTAGTTGGTATTCTATGTGATGACATGCTGAGTTGCTTACATCCACATCCTTTGGTCTCTAGTGGATAATTGTCTCATTGGCAATCAATCCACATAGATCTCCTTAAAGAACATGCTAAAACAAAGTTCAGGCTCAGGTGAGATTTTATGACAATTTGAATAACATTAAATGTTGAATTAATTTTTTAAAACACTAATCTTTTCTCTTTCCAGGCTTCCATTATACAGACAAGCTATCTTCCCTTGTTCCAGAATCTTGGTAATTCTATAGCTATTAGACATCAAGTTAAGCTTGCTAAAACAATTCATCACATGTTTATCTTTAGAACCAAATAATCCCATTAGTGATAGTGCTTCTTTTGGCATTATTACGTGTTCTTTTGCATTTGTTCAGCATGAATAACAAACAAAGTGCTTAGGCAAATTTGATTTTAATCAGGAGCTTTGATTTATATTTATTAAAAAAAAAAACAATTGTAATGATTCTGGAACTAAAAAATATTACTTGGAAAGCTGAAATGTGTCAGGTTAGATTATGAAATGAAATGTAATTTAAATCAGAATACAAGGTTATCTTTCAGAGTTTTGTGAACTGTACATAAACATAATTCCTGGTCAGGAATATTTATAGTATTTTTTTAACACTTCTAGATTTGTCTGGGTTCAAAGGTCATCATACCAAATTGGTCAAACTATACTATACTGCTGCTATGTTAATTATTCTTTATTGTCTAGTTAAATAGATTTAGTTATGTCTAATGGCCTTGAGCTCAGTTTCATGATCCAGTGGAAAGGTTAAGTTTGTGTTCAGCAGAAGGTCTGTTCCTCAGTAACTTTGCATGATGGGTCAACAATGTTTGGTATGTGAATTGTTTGCCAGAAGAATATGTTCGTCTGACTTCTGTCTTATTACCTTGACCTCAACTTTACATTACAGGTTTCAGGTCAAGTTTTAAAAATGAGGTATGTTCCTCAGTAACTTTACATGAAATGATAACAATATTTGGTATGGGGATTGGTTGGAGGACTAAACATGTATATCTGTCTGACAAGATGCATATGGCCTTGACCTCAATTTCATGCTCTAGTGGTCAGATTAGTATGAGTTTGTTCCTAAGTTGAGTAACTATACATCATAAGTCAACAGTATTTGGTATGTGGATTGGTTATAAGGAGATTATGTTAGCCATGTCCATTCATTCTTTTTTGTCACCTTGTACTAATTTATGGTCAACAAGACTTTTTTTCTCACTTTTTATGCCCCACCTACGAAGTAGAGGGGCATTATGTTTTTCGGTCTGTGTGTCAGTTCGTTCGTCTGTCCGTTCGTCCGTTAGTCTGTCTGTTCCGTTTCAGGTTAAAGTTTTTGGTCAAGGTAGTTTTTGATGAAGTTGAAGTCATATCAACTTGAAACTTATTACCCATGAACCCTAAAATGTGATCTTTCTAATTTAAATGCCAAATTAGAGTTTTGACTCCAGTTTCACGGTCCACTGATCATAGAAAATGATAGTGCGAGTGGGGCATCCGTGTACTATGGACACATTCTTGTTTTTTTTATGTTTTCCTTCATTTGACTCAGTTACAGCCCTTGGGTTATACAATTTTAAAGGATGTGTCTGAGGGATCAGACATCCTGACAAACCTAGTGATAGTTATCTAACTAATATTCTGTGTTTATAAAAACTTGTATTTCTATTTTGTAGTTTACTAATTGTTATTGGAACTGCTTTTGGTGTTATATTTTTGTAAGTAAATAGATTATTATTACTTATGATTTGAGTCCAAATTGTTTGTCACAATTTGTAAACAAAATATTTTAAAATTACAATAAACTGATTATTGATAAACATAACAGAAAAGATATTACTGTTTCTAGTGAAGATATGGTATAGTAGCTCTATATAAAAATAGAGATGTGGTATGATTGCCAATGAAACAGCTACCATCATAAGATATTTCTGGAAAAGTGATGTACGAACATAAGAGACTATGATGCAATTTCCACTGAAACAGCTACCATCATCTATTATAGAAAAAAGTGTTAAAATATTCAGACTTTTACAGTAAATAAAAAGAAAATTTTCACAAATCAGGAATAATTTACTGTAAAAATATATCCCGTATAGAGGGTTATTTTCGGGGTGTAAATTTTTGCTTATTTTCACGGATAGAACGAAATCATCAAAATAAATTCCGCAAATTTAAAAGTGCACATGCAATGGTATTGTATAAAAGTTTTGAATTCACCAAAATAATAACCGCCAAAATATTTTGTATACCTTGTCATTGCAACTCCTCAAAGATGCATATGGTTCATTAAATATATCTATATGAAACTTTGTATATTGTTAGATCCTGATATGCAAAATATGCATGTATGTGGGATGTATTTGAGACAAAATAGAATAACACTGAAAAAAGTCCAAAGTTATATCAACTTATTTAATTCCCTGTATTTCTGTCACTAGCATACTCAACAAGGTCATTCAGTAGAAATAGCATTTTAATTGTTTTTTTGCCTTTCAGCTTGACTGGGATTTCTGAAAAATTGCCAGAATTTTTTACACCAGAAACCTTCTTCCATTTTCTTCTTCCACCGTATGTAATTTATTTACATGAATAAAAGTATAGTATAGTATAAGTGATTTGATTAAAGGATATTCTTAGATTATACAAGCAAAAATGGTTCTTATTCTCAACAACAAAAGTGATAAATAGATAAAAAGTTGCAATTGATGTTTTAAAATACTTGAGGGCCACCTAAAATTAAAAAAAAAAGAAATAAAATCAATATTTTGAAATACTCATGCGGTACTTCAGGCTTGCATTCACAGATAATTTTTCATATTTCATTATAACTTTATAAGGATAGGACATAAAGTTATACTTTTCATAATTTTCTACATATATGTAGAACAAAATTTCACAGTTACCAGTAATTGATGGACACTTTTGATACTTTTCCCACAGGGATAGTACAGAAAAGTCATAATTATTAATATTTTTATTGAGGGATAGAAAAAAGTATCAATTTATTTTTCACACTTTCTCCATAATATACTTTTTTAGTTACTATATTGAATAGAGATAATCTGTAAATATAGCAAAAATGGTTAGCAAAACAAGACCTACATTTTAGTCAACATGGCAGAAAACTCCAGTAAAGGAGAATTTGTTTATCGAATGAAGTTTTTACCCATTTTTGTGGGTTTTTTTACAGAAATTATAATAGAGAGAAACTGTAAATAGAAAAAACAATTAGCAGGACAAGATCTACAAATAAGTCAACATTGTGGAAATAATTAGTGTACACCTTATAGGAGTTATTGAATGATTTTATAAACTATATTAGATAAAGAGAAACTGTAGTTATCAAAAATTATCAGCAGAACAAGACCTACTAATTTATCAACACAGCTGAGAGACAGTCAACTCCTTATAGGAGTTATTGCCCTTGAAAGAAGATTTTTACTCATGTTTGGGACTTTAACTGAAACTATTGTAGATAGAGAGAAACAGTAAAAAGCAAAAATATTCAGCAGGACAATTTACCAAAAAGTTACATGACCAGAATCATTAGTCATCAGTTGACCCCTTTGAGGATGATTTTTACTTTTTTTTTGTTTTTGCCAGAAACATTTCATTGTTTTTTTTAATTGCACTGTATCAATTTTATGCAAAAATGCCAAAGGAGCCATATTATGATATTTATCTAACCTTTTTTTCATCTAATTGTTCACTTTTTTTCAGTATAATTTTAGAAGCTGCCTTCAGTTTATATGACAGAACATTTCTACATAACTTAGGAAGTATTCTCATATTTTCAGTAATAGTAAGTTATTTTTATTTTAATAGACACACACATGATTTCTTGCTTCTTTTTTTCAATGTTTAAATATAATAAAATATAATAATTAATTTATGTGGAAAATAAAGAAAATTATATGTTTATTGATTGATGCATGGTATTTTAATTATGTGCCATGGTCTCTGAACTAAGTTGGGCACATCAGTCAGACCCAAGCAGAGTTTAAGGGTTTATGATTGGTGGATGACGTGTCAAATATAATCAGGAACATGTACTGATGTGGCATCACTTTATTGAGACAACAAAAATAGGATAGTAGTCATTCACTTTGTGGCCCTGGACACAAAGTGTTACCCATATAAGAATAAGAAATCATCTGTCTTTATTTCAATCCTTATTCTAAAATCAAAAGGTTTTCCTGAATTTTTTTCTTATACCTGCAGTATTGATTTGATTTTCAGTACAATGATGACTAATAGATCAGTTTTGAGTTTCTTTCTGGTTGATCAACTTTTTTTCAGAATTATGCCCCTTTCATGTTTATAAAAAGTGTACTTGTTCAGACTTTTCAGCAAACCTGGTGTTAATTTTTGTAAATTAATGTAAAACGACAATTGACACATCTTGTTGCATGAAAATTGTACTTCCGTGGACTTTTGTTGGAATGCCTTTAGATCTGGAATTGAGTTATTGTACATAAGTGTGTAATGATGACTTATAGATGGAATTTACGTATTATTCCTGTTAACTAATTTTGAAATAGGATGGAGGCTTGGTCATTCTACCAATACAATTATTACAGCTTTAGTTGATATTTTGTGATATAACATGAAGAAAAATTGGTACTGTGGGTTGTAAGACACCAGTAGTATTCTTATGGGAAAATTTCAAAAATCAAAAGTTCATTTCTAATTAAAAATCAACTTTTGCATAAATTCTTCCTATCAGGAAGCTTTTTGTCTACAGAGAATATATGAAGCATACTAAGTTTACTTTATTATAACACATAAAATTGATAACAAGAATTACCAAAAATATTGAACCGAACAAGAGACCACAACAACAACCAATTCCTCCAAAAAAAAACCAACACTTGATCCAGGTAAAACACTGGTTAAATTATGTTTTCAGTATGTTAAGCATGCTTAAGATGCTTATTTTTATAATTACAGGGAACATGTTGTGCTGCTTTTACTATAGGTAAGAATAGAATGTATTAAGATAAGTTTTTTGAAGAAATTTCTTTTTTTAAAGTATGTAATACATTAATTATTATTTAAAAAGAAGAGGCAGAGTTTTCTATATAACAAAACTGTGAATTCACTATACTTAATTTCTATAAATGGATAAATACTAATTTTATCTTCTTTCTTATTTGCTGGAGACAAATAACAAATTAATGTAAATTAAAATACATATTTTTCACTCTGTTTTGTTAAAATTGATGTATCAATGGAACCAGCTTAGTGTGCTATCTTCATAACAGCTTAATTTTCAAACTGCACAAGTCTTTGTGAAAAAAAAAATTTAATGGTTTCATGGTGTTGCAATGCACTTATATTTTAATACACAAATTATAAGTGTCAGCATGTCTACATAATACACCAATTATAAGTGTCAGCATGTCTACATAATACACCAATTATAAGTGTCAGCATGTCTACATAATACACCAATTATAAGTGTCAGCATGTCTACATAATACACCAATTATAAGTGTCAGCATGTCTACATAATACAACAATTATAAGTGTCAGCATGTCTACATAATACACCAATTATAAGTGTCAGCATGTCTACATAATACACCAATTATAAGTGGCAGCATGTCTACATAATACACCAATTATAAGTGTCAGCATGCCTACATAATACACCAATTATAAGTGTCAGCATGTCTACAGGAAAATAGTTGTGAAATTAAAAGATGAGTAAAATTAAACTATAGTGGATAGTTGTCTCATTAGCAATCATAGTACATCTCCTTATTTTTATATTGAATGTATCCTTTAGATTAAATGCTAAAGAAAGTGAACACAGTATTTATATTATGTATTTTCAGGTTTATGTTTGATTGGTTTACATAAAGTAGGTGCCATGGAAGATATAGATGTAACACCTATACAGCTTTTAGTCTTTAGTTCTCTAATAGTAGCCGTAGACCCAGTTGCAGTAAGTATCAGAAGGGTATCACTTGTGGAGGAAGACGTTTTTGTCACATTATTCTTAATTACTAGTTCATATCTTGTTTGGACCAAACCAGTCAAGCATTAGAATACAAAATTTGAATTGATCCATGCTAAAGAGATGCAGAACAGTGTTAGCCACACATGTTGGTCACAATAGATACTAACTTTAACGTAATCTTACTCAATTTTTGAATGTGACTGTTTTTTTCAAGTCTTTGTTTAGTATCCTGTATGACATTCTTTTAGCTCAATAAACCAAAGCGTTCTTGTAAAACCTCCATTTGAAGTTTACAGAATAAAATTTTGAAAAATATATTATGTGCTTCTTTTTTCTTCAGAGTATGCATATAGTGCTCAATACCGCCAGGTTAGGAGACATCAGGATTTATTATAACAATAAAGGTTATTTTGAAGGAATTTATTGAAGTCTAAACTCAACTGACTCCCTAACAAACTGGATTAAGTCAGGAGGACTTAATGTCAAGTTTTTGAATGAAACACTGAGTTTACACATCAATAAATCTCTGTTAAAATAACCTTTTTAAGTTTGTAATACCATGGAAGTAATATTGAAAGGAATAACTACGTCGTCACTTCAAAAGTTTCATCTGCGTTACCGCCCATCTTTGGTAACTCGTTAATTGATTTAATATCTGGAAGTTGATTCTCCGCATGTGATCGATCAAATCACTGACACTTTTCGGTCATTTTCGTATTCACGGAAAACTACAAACAAACAAGTTTTTGTCGTATATACGTGCGAAGTAACCCGAATAGTCCATTCGTTACATTCCGTTGATGTACGCTGACGAATAGAGTCATTCGTTCAATTTTTATTTTAGTCCAATTTTCCTATTTCTGGTTAGTTCGATCTTAATAGTACCGACAGCTATCACATATGAAATTGGAGAACAAGGCTGGGTCATTTTCAATTTTAATATTTACAGACAGTTAAAAGGCCATTTCCGTAAGTTAAGAAGATGATTGTACAAAAAATACGTTTGGACTCCCTTTTATTAAATACGAATAAGTCTAAGTCTTTCGTGTATTAGTCAATTAAAATATCACAATTCTAAACGGTTCTATCCTTTAATTTATAGTTCTTGATACATAAAATAATTCGTGTAAAAATGAATTTGCCGTAAGACAGATAGCGTCAAGCTCATTTTGTCGGTTTGTTTTAATTTTTGCTGTACCTTGTTATATTAATACAAGTATTCCACAATAAACACTTCTTAAAAAAATATATGTTTACGAACATATTATCCCTATTTTAGCTGTCCAGTTTCAATAATGTAATCAATGACATTTATGACATATACATAAATTTAGAATACTTCTCGATAAACTTTGCACATTTCAACAGTAAAAAAATCTATGTCTAGATTTGTCTACATTATTTTGTTAAACATCATGTGAAACCTGATTGATTCATCAGTATTTAACTGTTTTACTCGGGATCGCTTTTAACCGGAAAATACTTTTGGAACAGTTTAAAACAAACGGTAAAAAGCAAAAATATGCTAAATTAAATACAATTTTCCATGCTAAACTGTTGCAGGTTGAACAATTCTCGTCCGTTTTTCAAGTTTTTTTACATCATACGACTTCTTTTTGAAGGTAGAGGTTTTATATGATACAGCGCCACCGTCTTATTAATAAACCTCGGATTTCACACAGGTGCTTTATAATTACCGGACTCGATAAAATCACGTGACTGATAAGAAATTCCAGATGCCATTTTACAACTGCGGTATCACAGATAGTAACCAAAGGGGTCTTGCCGCTGAGACTATAATTGGATAAAATCATATGACTTTAGTACAGAGCTCTGCAGGCTGTTAATACATGCTAATTAGTCGTTGTTATTCCTTTTAAATATTACTTCCATGGTAATACCAATAAAATGCACTAGAAATTATGTTCAGATAAAAACAATTTCATCAACACTTTCAGAACTATTTCCCCTGTGTAGGAACTTGTAATCATGACATCATGAAACAGAGTTATTCCTGTTTAAAGTTTTTGGTTTGCCCGGAATAATTGAGATCAGCAACATTTTCTCCAACAATTGATTAACTTATTTATTTCAGGTGTTAGCTGTATTTAATGAAGTTGGTGTAAATAGAGTTTTATACTTCCTTGTCTTTGGTGAATCCTTGTTAAATGGTTTGTATAGATAAATAACTTAAGGTGGCTCACCCCAATAAGGACCCCCGGTAGAATTTTTTTATTTTCACATATTTTGTAGATTTTTTTATGCTGAATCCAAAAATGCAAAGAAAAAAGGGGGTCACCAGGCTCGTTTTCCCCTCAAATGGAAGCGAAATGTGCGATTTTGACCCTATTTCCAAACTTTTACACCCTTTCAACAATAACGACTACATCAAATTCAAAGACTTTTAGAACCATGTCAGTATGATTATTATGTGAAAAAACAATTAAATTTGAAATGTAAACGTTCTTCTTGGTTGTTTTAGACTTAAAAATCCTTTTATTTTCAGATTTATGTCTAAATTTGGCATTTTTAAATTTCAGTTTAAGGCTAAAAATATTGGTTAAATCGATTTTTCGTAAAATTTCCCCGGTAGTTTTTTTTTTAAAACGGATATGTCAAAGCTATGAACTTTTCGAGCATTTTAAGGTAAAATAAAATGGGGGTCACCAGGCTTTTAAAAAAGTTACGAGCTTTTGTTTAACCCCTCTACCCCATGAGGTCTGATTTCAATGCACTCCATTAATTACTTTATTGTGATTTTTTTATTAATGTCTTTACATAAATAATGTTTGTAATTATATCAATTAACGAAATCTGAATATAAATGTGATGAACATTTTACTGTTTGTTATAAAAAAGCGAAATTTTGATTATTTTGGTGAAATACGGTAATTTTGTCTAGCGCGAGTTGCTTCCCTCTAATCTGGCGCCATAATCGGACAACAGAAATTTCAGGGTCGCCATTGCTGAGCAGCATACTGCACTGACAAATACGACCATGTGCATGAATAACAGACATAGTGGCGAATAGACAACGATGAAGGTAGAGTCATTACATAAGAAAACATAGATTTTAATATATTAGACAGCCAAATGTTATCAGTATCACGAAAAATACAAAGTGGGGGGTTATCTCAAAATACTCAATACTGTAGAAAATCACTGCGGCTGAAACCTTGCATGGGCTAAATTTCTGTTCTATGTATAATCGTTATGGCTGGTATCTTTTTTGTGTGTTTACTTGACCCTTAACCTGTTAAATGGCAAGTTGTGAACATGTATAGCCTGTTTTGAAAAAATATCCGTGTCAAAGAGGAGGGGATGGTCATTTTCAGCATCTCATGATCTGCGCTATCGTTAGCAACAAATGGAAGTTTTTAACGACCTTGACTGGCTATACAGCCCTTGCACGGTCGGTAGCCTCAAATGAGTCTTGATTTTATATCGTCATTCGTAAAATCTAATTTAGTAGCCACGTTAGGGAGCTACCATTTGATTTCTATGGGGGGCTAGGATGAAAAATGTTGACCTGCTTTTTTTTTATTTGTAATCTCTGTCCTGCCTTTTTATTTTTTTACTCTATTCGGTCCTGCCTTTTTTTTTACTAGTTTATCCTGAATTTTTTTACACAAATTGTCATCCTGAATTTTTTTTTTTACCTGTGTTGCTCATCCTGCCTTTTTTTTTTACTCCAAACTCCTGTCCTGCCTATTTTTTCAAATTTCATCCTAGCCCCCCCCCCCCCCCCCCCCCCCCCCCCCCCCCATAAAAATCAAATGGTAGCTCCCTTAGGGTCAAATGAAGTTAAATATTTATCGTTAGCGTCTATAATGACTAGTAAAACAGGTTGGGAACAAACCCTCTACATGGTGTTTATACCTGTATAGAGGAATAATCCTATAGAGGGATAAAAGAGGGGTATTTTTGTTTAAACTGGATTTAAAGCAAAAAAGGGCAGAATGGCATTTTCTAGTTATATTTGCTATAATCTATAGCACTATATATGCATCAATTATTGCACTTTACTGTATTCTGTATTTCTTTACCAAAAAATGGCCTGGGATGCCCAGTTTTCTGCTAAAGTGACAGAACTTGCAATCTACTGTATACCTATCTGAACACCTGATCAACAACAAAAGGGACATGCAGTTGACCTTTAAATTTTATGTTAAATCTAACAATAGAAATTCTGTTCAGTGAGGCATAACTGAGTGGAATTTACCTGATCATCACTGCTTTCAATTATGGTGTACAATAGATTGTATATTCAGTCAGTTTAGCAGTAAACTGGGCATGTGAAATGAAATTAAGTACATCAATTGGTGCATCAAATGTAGCAGGTTACTGCCATAATAAGTAGAAAATGCCATTCTGCCCTATTTTGCTTTAAATCCAGTCTAAACAAAAATTCCCCTCTATAGAAGGATTATTCCTCTATACAGGTTTAAACACCAGTGGTTGGAACCCCCCCTTTTTTTTGACGATCAATGCATTTGAATGGGGACATATAGTTGGAACCCCCCCCCCCCCCTTTATCCTGGGTTAGGAACCCCCCCCCTCCTTTTATAAATGGCTGGATCCACCCCTGAAAACCATATAGAGGGTTTGGTCCCAACCTGTAAAATGGGGTACCCCATAACTTCCCTCGGACAGGGGTTCATGATTACCACTCCCTATCCCCAACTGCCATTTCTCTTCCCTTTTACTCTAAAATTTTCTCCCCTAACTTCTACTTCCATCCCCCTTGCTCCCAGACAAAAAAATTGCTTAATATATTCCCCAGATTATTCATCCCCCCCCTCTTTTCGAATTCTTGTCCTTTCACCCAAAATCATGTTCACTCCAATTCACGTTCATCCCACCCTGAGTCTGTTTGTACCCTTCCTTTTATCTAAATCAGGCTTTTGTTAGTATAGTTCTATAACAATAAATTAAAATAAAGATATATTAAGTTTATTTTTATTTTTTAAAAATAAAGTGACTCACACGAGATCTAAGGTTTTTTTTCTATTTATAATCTTCATAAGATTTACTTCTACCAAATTGGTTACTTTTATTTTCACTCAGACCAGGCTAATTAACGGTAACGGACCTGCACATGATCCCTCATTCCCATGTTCCCTTATCCCTGTCCACCCGCTCAAGTAGAAGTTCAAGTGAACTCGGGGGCATTATTTTCTATTTCTGTTTTCTTTTTACTGATTTTGCTATTTTTCTTTTTTTTTTTTTTTATTGTCAATGTGCCTCCAAAAAAAAATAATTAAAATATCAGCATGAAAACGTTAAATAGTGAATATATAATGCGAAGGCATATATTATAGGACTACCCGCTCAAGGGGTTCGATTGTTTCGTTTGTTTTCTTGAGAATATATAAATGGCCTGATTTGTAAATTATAACCACTACAGTACGAGGCAATACATTTTATTGATGGATTCGTCTTGATCACAATTTGTTTACAATTAAACACCCTCCCCCCTGTCTCTCTTTTGTATAAAAAATTTCATAATGTCAAGTATCAGGTTTAAACATACACGTAGGGCTTATCTTGTTTACCAAATAACACATACATTTGAGTTGAAAAATTCTTTATTGTTTTGTGCTTAGTATTTTTAAACACAAAATTTGTATATCCCATATTCCAAACAGGTTACAAGACACCTCAGCATAATTTGGTTGAGGAGGAGTACAAATGTAGCTCAGCTGCATTTTAGAATTTTTAGGCATAGAAATAACTTGTCCCTGGCATCGAAACAGCATGCCCTGAAAAGTCTGTATTCAACATATATATAAAAACAAAATCACTATTTACACTTGCTGTGCATGTAATTTTATTTTGTTTGCTCATTATTGTTGCCACAAATTCTTCATTTTTTTACGCTGTAGTGGAGTGGGCATTAAGTTTTACCCTTGTCTGTCTGTACATATGTCCCAAAATTGGTGTCCGTTCTCTAACTTCAGTTTGCCTCAACCAAATGTTATGAAACTTATACACAATGCTTATTACCAACAAACACAGATCAAGTTTGAATTTTTTTTGGTGGTGTCTTTTTTACTGTTCTAGAGTTATGCCCCTTTACAAATGGAAAAATTGCTGAATTTTTTGTTTCTGTTCTCTAACTTTAGTTTGCCTCATCCAAATGTTATGAAACTTATACACATTACTTATTACAACAAAATTCAGATCAAGTAAAACTTTGGGTAGTGTCACTCTTACCGTTCTTTAGTTATGCTCCTTTATAACTTTATATGCAAGTGGGGGCATCATCTGTGTCCCATGGACACATTCCCCATTTATTTAAAATATGAACTACATTATGCTTTTAAATGTCAATCATGGTTGATTTTCTGACAGATTTACCCTGACATTTAATTTCAGGCTTCAAGTACATGTAAGAGGAAGGAGTGATTTGTTGTGAAAGATCCTGGAATGTTCAACTTTACTTGGAAACTATTGGCAAAGAACTGACAGAATTTACACGAGAAGCCAGTATCATCTTGTCTTGCAATTGGGAACTATATGTAAAGTGCAGAAACTTAAGAACAACATTAGAAGCCAAGATCAACAATACTTGGAACTACATGTATAATCAAAGTACTGTCAGAATCCATATGAGAGAACCCAAGATCATCTACACTTGGTGTCTATATGCAAAGTGTTGTCAGAATCCATTTAAGAAGCCAAGATCAACTATAATTTGGAACTATATGCTTTAGTGCTGTCAAAATCCATAAAAAAAAATCCAAGATCAAAAGGACCTACTTTACCTACCTGTCCCAATGACGAATACAGATTATTGAGTCTTATAAAAAACACTGATGAAGAATATTGATATAAAAATAATGAAAATATAGAGCTGATCAGCTAATGATTGTACATGTACATGATGTATACATGTCAACAATTACTAGTATATTGAAATTTACAATGCTAATAAATGTTTTATAAATTTGATCTCATAGACATTTTAGGAATAAAAATCAAAAATGTTTCAAAAAATGAATTTTAATAGAGCTTTTTTTGCTGTCTGTAGTGAATTTTGCTGCAAACACAATTCATGATATGCCAACTGCAATATATGCAGTTGTCTTTAATACAGAAGGTAGCTATGAGATTTGGAAATTTTGGAAATCATAATTCCAAGTGGCAGTTGTGGTAAATGCACATGCCT